TGTCTGCCCCCCCCTCCCCCCCCCCCCCCCCCCGCAGGTGCCCTTGACCAGAATCGAACCGTGACCTCCTGGTTCCTAGGTCGATGCTGCACCACTGAGCCACCCCGGCCGGGCTTGTTTTACTTGTAATTTCCCCCAAAGGGTGTCTCTCCCTACGGGGTTGTCCTGCCCTGGACTCAAGGGGCAGCCCTGGGCCTGCTCAGCTGTCCCTGCTCAGGGGGAGGGCGGGGTCACTGAAGGGGAGGAGCTGTCAATCAGCGGACTGTGTGACCCGCCCTCCCGCTGTGGGCGGCACCACCCAACCTCAGAACCAGAAGGGGAAGGAAGCGCTCATTCTCCCCGGAGCTGGGGCGCCTGCCCGTCTCTCCTGCCCTCGGACATCGGACATCGGAGCTCCGGGCTCTCTCACCCCCGCGGCCCTCCGGTTCCGGGCCTTTGGACTTGGGCTGGACTGTGCCACCGGCTCTCCTGGGTCTCCGTGCAGAGGGCGGATGGGAACGTCCAGCTTCCATAGCGGGTGAGCTATTCCTGTGCCAAACCCCCTCCTTATCTCTCTGTGCCGATAGCTCAGAACCTATGGGTTCTGTTTACCTGGAGGACCCGGACTAATGCACTAATAGGGGGAAAGTAACAAAGAGAGAAAGGGGTAGGGGGAGGGAGAGAGAGAAAGGAGAGAGAGAGAGAGAGAGAGAGAGAGAGAGAGAGATAGAGAAAGAGAGAGAGAGAGATTCATCAGAAATTCAGCACGGGATGTAACCCCAAGATAACACAGATGAAAACTATAGGGTTAGGCCCCAGCTGGTTTGGCTCAGTGGACAGAGCATCGGCCTGCTGGCTGCAGGGGCCCGGGTTCGAATCCCGGACAAGGCATAGGCTGGGGTTGGGGGCTCGACCCCTGGTTTGGGGCGTGCAGGAGGCAGCTGGTCAATGATTCTCTCTCATCATTGATATTTCTATCTCTCCCTCCCTCTCCCTTCCTCTCTGATATCAATATAAGTATATTTTAAAAAATAAAATATAATTGAGTAGGAAGGCTGGGGATCCAGCCTCTCTGAGGTGCATGGCCTGTGACTCACAACAGTGACTCAGGCCCCCACACGGGTCTGCGTCCCCGGCCACGTAGAGCTCGCCCACCTTTGGCAGCTTAGGGAATGTTTCACTCCCTAGTTTTTCCAAGAAAAATGGAGAAAGGACTAGAACATACCTTAGAGCAGTGGTTCTCAACCTTCCTCATGCCGCGACCCTTTAATACAGTTCCTCATGTTGTGGGGACCCCCAACCATAAAATTATTTTCGTTGCTACTTCATAACTGTAATTTTGCTACTGTCATGAATCGTCATGTAAATATCTGCTATGCAGGATGCATTTTCATTGTTACAAAGTGAACATAATTAAAGCATAGTGATTAATCACAAAAACAATATGGAATTATATATGTGTTTTCCGATGGTCTTAGGCGACCCTTGTGAAAGGGTCGTTCGACCCCCAAAGGGGGCGCGAACCACAGGTTGAGAACCGCTGCCTTAGAGGGTTTGGCCGAGGATTCAATGTGTAACATTTGACAGAACGAAAATAGCAGTTGTACCATTGTAAAAGCTGGCTGAGTCTTGGTTGAACTCTTAAAAAATATTATTTTAATGGAGAATAACATTTTTAATGCCTGCAACAGCCACGCAAGCATCTTATCTTTTCTATTAAAACAGCAACAACAAAACCCGCAAAATTAATCCGAACGAGACGCGGGCGCCCCCTAGCGGTTCTCAGGGTAACATCTCATTTTAACCTGATGGGGCAGCAGGTCTGACCCCACAAGTGGCAGGAATTCGGGCATTTCCCCCACGGGGGCTCTGTCTCCCAGCTCTCCTGGCGAGGGGTCCCGCTCTGGGGTCGGGGTGCCTCAGACTCCAAATGTTTCTTTGTGGAGACAGCGCTGGGCAGCGACCTTTGCAAGCCCAGCGGCCATCAGCAACCTTGCTAAGCAGCCAGGTGGGCAGTCCTGAACAGACACTGGAATAACAGAGGGGCCTGGCCGATGTGGCTCAGTGGTTAGAGCGGATTCCGCGCATCAAAGGCTCTCCGGTTCCATTCAAGGGCACGTACCTGGGTTGCAGGTTCGATCCCCAACCCGGTCGGGGTGTGTGTGTGAGGCAACCAATCCATGTGTCTCTCTCACATCCATATTTCTCTCTCTCTCCCTTCCTCCCTTCCACTCTTTCTAAAAATCAATGGAAAAATTATCCTGGGGTGAGGATAGAAATAATGAGGAGGGGAGAGGTCTATGGGGGGAAAAGGAGACATATGTAAAACTTAAAACAATAAAGAATTAATAAAGAAAAAAAGCACGAGGGGACCCAGGAACGAGGATGGATGTGTTCACATAACTGATTCCTGAGATCTGCCCAGGTGGTCAGTGACCCCGGGGTCAGGGAGGTGTGGGGGTGCCTGCCTCCGGTGGCATTTGTGAAAACTGGGGGGCTCAACCCCACGTGGGGAGGGACAGAAGAGGAAGAGCAGGTTCAGGAAAATAGGGTGCACAACACAAGTGTGTCGGGGGGTGCCTCTGGGGCAACAGCCACCACGGGGGCCACGCCCCAGCCCTGGGCAAAGACCAGCTGTCAGAATGTGTGTGATCAGGGGTGTGACCTTCACAGCCAACAGGCCCCGAGGTGTGAGGACTCACCTGGATGGAAGGCAATTTCCCGCCCGCCCACGTCAACAGGTGAGGGTCACTCAGCTCCCCAGGAGGCGTGGCCTAAATCCTGTGACCAACAGGAAGTGTGAGGGGTAGCAAGGCCCACAGGCAAGGAGATGACCAGCCATTGGAGACAGACTGTCACTCACAGTGCCCGGGGGAGGGGAACCCAGGAAGCCCCAGGCTGGTCAGAGGAGAGGG